CGGCGTACGTGAGTTCATTCAACTCATAGCTTCGTAATTAAAATCCTACACGGAAAGTGCGTCTAGTGGAATCTGTCCTGACCTCGTGCACGATCACTCTGCCCTCCAGGTACCAAATAGTTCAATAAATCAATGAGAAAACTTGTTGTAAATCCATAATGTTTACACTATAATGAGACTGTTAGGCTCCATGAATCAATAAAAGATAATGAAAGAAAATATGAAATCGATTGTAATTTTAATCAGTCAGTTTTATTTGGTATGGACCTATTATCTCAATCATTCGGAAGTAAATTTTTCGTTTAACAGGCCTTCACAAATGAAATCTGATAAACTTGTTAAGAATTTAATAATGATCAATTAACTAACGGACCAAGTCAACTTTATCTCTGTAAATCATCTCCAATCTGCTACCGAGTGTACAATACCCCTTAATCAGTATCGAACTGATCAGGAAATCGGAACGCGGTATCGCCTTGTACTGGATAATCGCGAGTGGAGATGGCGTGTCACCTTCTAGTTTGCAGTCACGAACCAGCGACGATCCATCGCTGTTCTCACGTGACCCTCTTAATTATAATCATGACCTACAAGCTCAGCGGTATCTTCTTAAAGCTAGGCAGTATATCGACAGTGAAAATTAAAATTATGACTCACCAAAACCATTTGAAACGACTTATTAAAAATTTGAGTGCCGAACTATATTGAAATAACGAATGACTCAATCTTCCGCAAATGGAAAACTTAATTTATACGTTACGAATACGGAAAGAAAGACGTTGTGAGATGAACCGATCATAAAACGCCTTAGTTCCATTTCACGATGATTGTAATTTATGTTTTTACTAGAAAATGTCCCACTAAGACGGTTTTCTCAACTGCCGCTTTCTAGATTAACATCGCAAAAACTTATTCAATTTGACTTCTTTAAATCGTCATCTCTTATTAACGTCAGTAACTAACTGTTTTTTCGGCACTTTTTTTACTACATTTCTAAAAATTGCAAAATATAATTTTGGATTTATTTGCCGTTTTTCTTAATGGACCTATTCCACCAGGAAAATCTCTGTTTTAACATGCAAGCGTTACAGTTTGTAACAGTTTTGTGGCTTGCTACCGTCACCGGCTGTTCCGAATACAATTGCAGACCTAGATTTAATAACATTAACGTGTAGTTTAACCGTGGGAATATCTCGGTTCCCTTTATGACTTCTAAGCTTAGTAATTTACGTTAAACTTGCAGAAAACTATTTTGCTACCGAAATAAATATATGAATGATGGTTCTGTTGAATTTAAAAGAATTTAGTAAAAAAACCTTGCAACCGCTCAACTTCTATATTACGTAAAGGGCCGTTGACCTGTATAATCGATGTCTATGTAAACATTTCTAATAACTATGTTTGTTAAATTCCACGACTCCGAAAACAAATTTAGCAGAAAATAAACGTGGTGTTGCATCCTTATTTAAAAAAAAAGTTGAATCCGTATTAAACCTATTACATCTAGTAGTAGGTTCGTCAACAGAATGATTTCTCTAATAATGTAGTGGTACAGCTCTTCCGAAAACGTCTATTCACCGTTGATTTGAAAAGATCCAATTTGTAAACCAACAACGTGCTCGTAAGGCGTTCGAATTAGGATTTTTTTTTATTATAATGGAGAAAGTTTTGAACATTAATTGGCGTCGTTTGTTGTTAAAGATGGAATTTCATTTCAATTTAAATTAGTCGTTTTGTAATGTGTTTTTTATTGATTAGAAGAAGAAAAAAAATGTGTCAGCTCTTCCACTCACACCGACGGCCCGAGACATTTTCTCTACATCTCATTTCGATTATTACTAATTTACCAGCGTCCATAAAATCTATATTTGGAAATTTCATTTAATTAAGCTTGTATATTATTTTCCAGTACTAAACCTCGTGAGCTTTGTAATAAGAAACCATTACAAATAGCGATGAAAGTAATACTTTAATAACTCATAATAAACCCTTTTATATCGTGGGTCGTTACAACTGACTTGCTTATTCCTACCGCGGGGCTGTTGTTCGTTACGTTTTTAATCATAGGACTACGACCTAATGTCTCAAGGTGGGCGGCGCATTCGTGTTTTAATGTCCATAGGTTCTCAGAAGATTAACAAAACGTATACCGTGAGCTAATCTGTGCAATTACACTGTAAAACAATTGTTTTTAATAGCATTTAAATTAGCATGTACCTAATTTTAATTTATTTTCTATTATCACTAGAACAGGTGTTTCAATTTCACAATTTTAATAATAACCTCGATATTTAATGGGAATATATTTTTTCTTGTGCCATCAATATGTAGGTATGTAACCGTACTTAGTAATTACGAAAATAAATAAATAAAGATTTTCAGCTTATGCTCAATGCTTTTCTTTCTATCACGCTCTGGGTTTCTGGGTTGGGTGGACAGTAATTTTATTTCTACCTATTGCTAGTAACTTTTAGGGGTAATGCTAGCTCCACCTAACGTGTAGGTAAGCTCACGGGGCTCAGGCTTGTGACTTTACTAACCCAAGCCTTAGTGTGAGCAGGACAGGAATACATTGCTATACATTCTACCTCATATAGGTACGTGGCGAAGTTCATATTGTATACTGTCTTCGGTAACCATTTATTACCAGCCAGCTTGATGGGCTCGTTCATCCATCTAGTACAACAAAATATATTTAAAACTTGTGTCTTAAAAGTCTATGGTCTACGGTAATCGCTTAATATCGAGTGGACTCTTGAAATTTATCTTGACCAACAAAATGTTATTTTAGTAATATCCGCCTTGAGCTAGGCATTTATTTAGAGCACTAATGATAACTGCATATATTTAATATCCGGAGTGCCTTACACTAGACAGCATAGTTGTCCCTCTAGCATTGCCTGCCTTATACGACGGTGGACACTTTCATCCTGGTGAATCGTATACTTACTGAAGCAATGAAAAAGTGTAATGACTAAAATGTATTCCACTCGTGTTAGCTTCGTTACTTACTGCACAGCACAAAACGCGTGAAAATATCTCCATATAAGAATTTGAATCCTTTAAAACAACCTAATTTTACTCGTAGATCATTTAATTTATCAAATAGATACACTTACGGTAGAATTACAGAAATAATTCTGACTTAAACATTTTTTATATACAACTTTAATCCAAGGACGAATATTTAACGTAACGTTAGATGTGCCTGTTGCGTTTCCTAGTTCAATTATTATTATATTTCTTTTTTTGTTAGTAGTTAATTTAATTAAAAGAGTAAAAATATTTTTTAAAAGATACCGACTTTTTGCTTGCTCCTCAAAAAGTTCAATGTACCCATATACAGAAACGATTATGACTTGGGAATACACGATCCGCGATTTTACACGAACTCTATAAATAAAATTCGTTCAACTTCAAGAATTCATTGTTAATCGGATTTCTTTGTTCAAGTCTCTTTAAAAGTTGTTTTTTTTTTCATTCTTCTAAGTAACGAGAATCAGAATTTATAAATTAACTAATTAATGGGTTTTTTTGTTGGTTTTAAAATTTTAGATAAGTTTTTATGTTTGTTGCTCAACACTAAACAAAATTACTTAAAGGATTTGAATTAAATTTCGCAAAAAGGTATTTTAAATCCCGAATTATCATATAGACAAACTTGGGTATATTACTTATATAAAAAAGGGCATTGCTGGTTCCTGATTTTACCTACCACCGGATCAAAAAACCCACTGGGGATTAATGAAACAAAGAGAAATACAAGCAACTATCTTACTAATTTTAGGGGAATTAAGCTGCAGATCATGTCAATTTTTTTGTAAATAAACTTTTGATATACATTTTAAAAAAATACATAATCTCAAATAGATTTTGAATGGCGTGATAAAAATCCATTTCAAAGGGCATATATGGACATATGTATATCCCTCTCGTTGAACTCTTTTGTTTGGGCGCTTTACTATAATGAGTTTGAAATTGAGTTTTCTACTCGTTCGATCTTTTAGTTACTTTTCCTAATACGTAATTGCGATAATTTTCTTTGGTGTTTTATACGTTATCTTATTTAATTTAAAGTACTTTTTTTATTTTCAAAGTCTAGTTAATCGAATATTTTTTAACTTTTTCCACGAATTAACTTATAAAAATAATTTTTATTTTTATCAATATTTCGTTTTTATTACAACCCTTATTTCATTTGGATTTTATTATTGAGCCAAGTTATACGTAAATTTGCTCGAAGATTATTATTAATGTATTTATGCTCTGGTTTTCAAACGAAGGGTTTTTTTGAAATATTATTTTTATACATTATTCGACCAAAAACAATTTATATTGTAAAAAGGCCCGTAACGAGACGAACCCATCATTATTAGTATACGCATCAGAGCTTATCGGTCTATACACGAACGAAGCGAGCGTGCGCTTAAAGCAAAAACCTTCGTCTATACCGCCCTAACGGTACGCAGCTCACACTCATCATTTTTCATCGTTAACATTGATTTTGATTATGTCGTAACTACTCTTTAGAAGTGTATGAGAGTACTCCGTATAAATCTAAGCGGTGTACGTACGTACGTGTGTACGGCAATTAAAATGTTGTGTAAACGAGTTCTATTGCGTGGGAAAATGTCGATCATTTTACAGTGATAAGAATACTTGACAAATACTTTATAATCAACATTTTTATACGCGTAAAACTGCAGACATTTAATTAAATAATATGAGTATAAGAACCCCGCTGGCTTCGTAAAATACATATAAGTTTATACAGTAAAATTATGGTGTGAAGAATGCAAGTTTATTATAGTTATCTCATCTCCTGCAGAGTCGGAGAACCACCAAACCGACATAAAATATTAAATAAACCAGTTTATTGAGCAGGCTACGTCTATATGGCCACAAGTGACTCCAGACTAACTAAAAACATGACATATATTTTCATCCATTAGCGATATCTCCGACACTGAAAAATTAATGCATTTTAATTCACTACCTACCTTGGGACGGTCTTGTCGCGTTTATTTCGATAGGAAGCGCCACGTGATATAGTTCAAACAAATATCAACACGTAGTTCATGAACTTTTCACTGTTCGTATATCACAGACGGTCGCACAGTCCTCGTAGTGACGCGAACGCAGCAATGGTCGCGAGAGTAGTGTCGCGGCCACTCTCGACGAGACACTGAACTTGGTGGAGTGCGCCCCAACGGTTATAACATAACACGTCTGACGTAACCTTAACCTTGCAAGAAGAAGAGGAACGATCAACCGAAGGACGGAGAGAGAGAGCGATACGTCCGAGAGAAAGGGAGAGAAGGTTGCGGTCGGTGAACAGAAGCACGGACGTCGCGGCGGCTCGACGTGCGGATGCGCTTGCGACGCTCACCGCCGCCGGTGCCGCCTTATCGATTCTAAGATTATGCATTTCCTGTACTAATTACTAAAAGTAAATTTTACACTATAATTTCAATCGAAGTAGGTACCAATGGTAATTCAAACGTGTTTAAAAAAAAGCGATTTGATTCTTAAATCAGAAACTAATATAAAATCTAATACAAATTTAGAACATGTTAATACCCGCATACTATATATAAGTTAACATTTTTTTTACAAAAAACTACCTATTACGACAAAAGACTACTTACCTATCTGTCAAACACCGCTGGATTCATGTACAGTGGGGTGCAAAGGGGCATAGACAACACAGTAAAAATCCTATGAATCTACTATAATTAACGATATATCTTACTAGTAAACTGGTACACATTACTCGTAGTAGGTATATTTTTTTTTGCTAGAAACCGATATATACCGAGATTGTTATATTAGCTGTAATTGTGTTATTGGCAATGACGTTGAATATTATTAGTTGAGTAGTATTCTATATAACTCTCGGTTCAATTTTGCAAAATTTTCTACAAAAGTTTTAAAAACGTTTTCTATAAAAAGGTTTTTTTGTTGTTTTATTACTTAAATGAAGATTTGCTACTATTAGATAGCAAGTGATTTTTACTGACTTGGTTTCAAGTGTTCTCAGGAAAATATTACTATATTACTTAGTTACTATGCGTTTCTGCAGCTGACAGTACGATCCGACGGTAGTATGGTAGGCAGAGACTTGACTGAGCTGATGTTCTTCAGCCACAGTGACCATTCCCATCGGTAGGTTTATCTATTTGGTGCGATCACAATGTTAAACTGTCTCAATAGCATGGTTTCCCTGCTTTTGTACCCTTCAAACCAGAAGGCATGATTACTTTACGACAGGAATAATTTTGCTTGTGCCTCAATAAGCGTTCTCTTAACTGTATAATAACACTATATCGATATGTAAATATTAACAATGGGAATAAATAAACACATTGTAGATTATTGCCGACTCAATAGAGATAAATGTAAGATGTCAATATACTGACACGTTCAATTGTTATCCCTAATTGCCCAATCTTTTACTCTTGTCTTCGCGTACGTGAATGAAAATGTAAAAGCATTTCACTTTTAAATGGAACAATTGAGATGGCGACGTTTTTGCCTAATGACATGTTTCCTAACAATGAATCGATTATGTCGTTGACCGGAGCTTTCTACGGGTCATCAGCTGAATTATTGTTTGTTTTTCTTTATTCTGTAACCGAACGCTTTCACTGTAATATTTACTTTTCACCCTCAAGTGAAATTGGAAGATCGAAAATGATTTTGTTGAAGTGACAGACGAATTCTGAGTTAAAAAAAGAACGTATTCCAATAAAGGCACCTCTATACCTACATACATATATAAAAAAATAGTGCTATAAACAATGAGAATCTGCAGTTGCATCATTATCTTGTAACAGTATTCCTTATGTATCGTAAAAGTTTTAATGAAAGTCTAGCTATCATTTATGCATCATTATATTTCATCTGCGCGTGCATTCATTAAGCATGGCTGTCAATTATTACATCATAAAACAAGATTCCCATGGCAATCTTGCACAGAACAGTTCTTGTTTCCTGTTTCCCGGCGGAGTGCTTATTAGCCCCGGGATACCTCTCTTTCATTTATAGAGGACTACGAAACAGATCTCATTGTTTATTATGTTCGAGTCGCACAAATTATTTTAATTAGAGTTTTTAATGGTATAAAGTATCAGTAGTAGGTATATGCGCGGAATGTTTGATTGTAAAGAGAATGATTTCCGATTTTAATGAACGTCACGGGAAAGCAGCAACTGTGATCAAAGAATAATGATTCTTTTAAAATCAAATGAGAATTGGACAAAAAACAGCTATCCGATTTTTTTCCCGATTATTTATATTTAAAAATACAAAATAATGGTAAGTGAAAAGTAAAAAAAAAATGGCGATCACGGTGAATTAGTGTTTACAGAAACTGAGAAATTTCTCTCGGAACTGGTTTGAAAAATGTTAAGACAGATGTTATCTTGAACAATAATTTTTATACGGTTTTTTAATGTGTATCACAAACATTAAACTTTTCGTGTTAGGCACGCCACCGAAGCTGTTACCATTTTATACTCAGCACTTTCAGTGCAGTAAATTTCACAATGGAAATGCTGAGATCTATGGAAGAAATAATTAAAAATTAGTTTAACAAAAAACAAATAGACTTACCTACCTAAAGATCTAGAGACAATAAGAAGTTCTAAAAAACGCTATCGATAGTGGTCTGGTTTGTAGTAGCCGTGGTGGTGAATTGAAAGCCAATAAACGCGTCGCTGTGATACAAATAATGATAGCGCATCCACATTAAGTAATCTTCTAAACAACGGATATACCATGTAAAATAATTTACAATAAATTAGCTGAAGATTTTTTCCACAAACAAAATACGAATTCCGACTAATTTCAAAGCGTAACTAACATTGGTAACTATATTCGGCCACGGCATAGCAAGCTATTTAATTATAATCTGTAATATTCTACCTACTGCAGCCCAGGCAGATGTCATACTCCCGTAATCGAGCTAATCCCAATCCTAAAAAAAACAAATCGTAAACAATCCATATGTCACATCACATATATGAGCAAGTGCGTCAATGTCAAGCCATAAGTTCATTAAATAAAGCCTAAATAAAGGCTAGTTGTTTAAAATTAACAAGGCTGTCAAAAATGAACTACTTCACATAAAATATGCGTGAATCTTAAAGTGTTCCAAACAAGTTCTCTATGTTCATTAAATCAGCTTCTTTACTGAGGAACATTATCTTGTTTAGTAAAAAAGTTTTGTTCTTGCATCGTGCGAACATATGTATACCTATCCTTATATGCCTTCTTTGGGGATGCTAGTTTTCAGACGCTCTAAATTACCGTATTGTAATCAACGTGCGTTAAGTTTAACTCGACCTCATAAATTAATTATAATCTTACCGATTTATAGAAGCACATTTTTTAATAGCTGTAAATAAAATTTTGACCTAGCACGTATGCGTGCCAAATTAGTTTTCGTATTTCAGTTTCCAAACATAACGAATTTTACGCAAAAGAGAAACACTTTTACCATAATAAAATGTTAACTATAATAGAATTAAAGTTTCGAGATACTTGAGACGAAAACTTAGTTAAGCAACAGCGTGTGCGATCACATAACGATGAAAATTAGTCAACTTATTAATAAAACAATCATTTTACACCTACCACCAAGTTTTATACAATAAGTGTTTATTGCAATACTAGCGACCCGCCCTCGCTTCGCTTCGGAAACATTAAATTTTATTATTAATAGCTGAGTCTCGCGATGCTACCCGCGGTTGTTGTCGTAGTCTAAAAAAAAAGTAGCCTAAGTTACTCCTTATATCATCTAGCTACCTATCAGTGAAGGTCTCGTCAAAAGATCCAGAGATTAGCCGGAACAAACAGAAAGACAGACCGACAGACAACAATTGTAAAAAGTGTTATTTTGGTGTATGTATTTTATGTATATGTATAGATAAAAGATACAAAATGATGAAATAGACATTAGGTAGAAATTAATGCTCACATTAAATTATGTGTAGGTACTCGAATAATTATAGGAACATTCCATACTAAAACTTTATGTTACGAGCCAGACGATTAATGCAAAATTCAATTAACATAGAAAATTAAAGAACATTACAAATACATAGCCCTATCAATTAATCTGTTCTGCAGGAGTTAATACGATTACCTTAAATCGGATATTAAAAATCCATCTCTATGAAATGATTCTAAGCCTCAGCCAATAGTGAAGGGTCCTTGGACCTTGGAAGTGCCCACAGGGAATTTAGGTCAACGACAACATAAAAGCAAATGTGCAATATAACTCATTGTTCACCTATGTACATAACTATTATCTGTTTTTAACATTAACTAACCGACAAAGTTTTCTCATAAAAGGAATCTACAAATGCAGAAACGGGGTTCACTAAAATGGGAATGCGTTCAATACGCATAATTGCTATGTAATTATCGTCAATTTAATGCGGCGCGCAGTGAACAGTGCACCATGTTTAATGTATACACTACACCGTACACAATACACTACACTACATTTTTTTAATGAAGATTGATGAAAAAAATTATTAGAGGATTAAAAAAAGTTTGATTTGATTTTTACTTTTCAAAACAAAATGCTCTTAATGCATCCAGGAAATGTATGGCTGCAAACGAGAACTCTACAATAGTGAAAATCTATCACTTGGTTACAGAAGAATATTCACGTAAAACTTAAATGCAATTACTACTTTAATATAAAGCTAATTCATCAATTATTTGAATAATTTAGATCACCAATAAAAAATCAACAAATTGCAACTGCCAACTGTTTTAGGTACTAGGACTTTTTTGTTGTATATTAATCAAATTTATAGCAGTAGACCTAAATATGTTGCCAAAATTGTCTGCAACTCCTTTCACATATGGCAGGAATAGTGTTGCCGTTCCACTGTGGGTGGATTTATAAAAATGCAAAGTATATTAAATAACTAAAATGCAATAAAAATAGTTTTAAATATTGAACCGCTCGCGAAATTCAGAAAAGTAGACTAGACAAAAGATTCTCAAAAATATTACAATAATTTCGTGGAACCGTCAAGTTCTAAAGTTAGACATAGAGAAACAAAAAAAATGTTATTTAAGCACAAAAAAATCTAAAATTTACTCAAATCAATTTAAATAAGTTTTTAGTATTATTGATCCAATGCATTTAACCAG